TTGGATTTAATATTTTTGGTGGTTCCTATATTAATTGGGATGAATTTAATCTATTAAGAAATAGAAGGAAATTCCAATGATGGGTTTTATGGCCATTCCCTAAGGGTATGGTTGATTGAGCAGGACTTGTTCGGATTTTAAAAAGTATATATAGATGTGTATTCAACCTTACCTTATGGGCAAGATGGCTTGATTGGCTAAACTTTTTTTTTATTTTTGGATGTAAAATGTATTTTGATGCCTATATTCAGGCGATGACTCACTAAGATCTTTGGATCAACTGGAGATGATCAGACTAACTTCGGCATTTGACTTGTTTGCGTGATCAACTGAGCTCATATTTAATGTATGAGAATTGATTTCTTGGGGAATTAGTGTCAGTTGGGCCTTGCAATGTCTTTTCTATGAGTTTGCCTCTGTACGTGGCATTATGGATATTCAAGATTACTTGGGATATATTGGTCATTGGAGTCTCAGACATAAATTTTTATTAGTTTCAAAGTTCAAGGTGCATTATTAGCACACATTTTTTTTAGGTGTAGGTATGCTTACTAATGCACTTGAAGACGAATGCATGAGTTATTTCTAAACATGTATTTCATAGTATTTCCCTATTATTCAAACATATGTAGGAGCTTTTGGTGCTTAAGAGGCTTCTGGATATATTGGCACATTTCTTAATGCACATGCATGATTATTAATGAATTGACAGTTCAATCTCCTTTTTCGATCCAAATCCATCTTGATTTAAAATTTTGTTTTGGTAGATAGTTTGGTCTCTTTTCGATTTATGACTATGATTCGCTCTTTGATTTTGTTTTTGCATCAACTTATGCTTACACCATATTTTTAATTTTAATATGTACAAATGTTATTGATTAACCATTTCGCTTATTAAATAGCTCATTCAAAATTTGATTAGTCAATAAGTTTTTTGAGATATTTTTTATAGATCTTTGTACTCATTTCTATTAATTAATTAATTATTGTCACACCCCGGTTCCGGAAGGTGGTATACCCGACAACATGGAACTTTATAAGGGATAGAAAGATCTGCTTTGTATTTACAAAGAGAAACAAGCATATATAAGTGATACAATATTATATATATATATATATATATAACTAGTACATCTGAATAACAATAGCTCTAAAACTGTAAAACAAGCACAGAGGAATGTAAATAGAGCAGAAAGCAGAAAAGAAACTACCAAACCCTCAATCAGAATAAAATAAAATATTACAAAAATATAAAAATACAAAAAAATAGACTACTGCTTCTGAGGCGACGGTCTGCCAAACACATTTGCTAGAACTGCTATAAAAAGAGACAATAGGTGATCCTATCTATTAAGGCATAATCGACAATGAAATGGTGCATGCAGTATAAACTATAAAAAAAGTAGAAGTAGCAATCTATAGTCACCAAAACAAAGTAGCACTAACATATGTCATGCTTGCTTCAACAAAATTTTAATATGCTAATGCTATTATTGTATATGCCCAACTACTATCAATGTAAGTTATTTTAATGCTCATAATTGCAACCACACTAGGTATCATCATTCCTCAAAATAATGTATCAATCATTTATTGTTTCCTATTCATGTCCACTTATATTTTCTTATATTTATACCAATGTTTAAAATTGCGTATTGGGTATTGAGGCATTTTTCATTCGTGAGGCGAGGTGTAAGCCTCAAGGCGTTTTGAGGCGTAAGCCTCATGATCAAAAGATTGCGTAAACATAAAATGATAAATTTGTTATATACTAATGAGTGAATAATATAAAGCATAAAAAAGCATAAGATATGAAGTGAAATCAAAATATCTCAATAATAAGACAACATGAAATATAGTTCAACTCAAAATTCTATCTTTATGAAATCCCAGTATTATTTTCATTAACAGATAATTCCGATTTCCAAAAATAAATAGCAATGACATATCACATAAGAACTCATAAGTCATCAGCACTGTCATCACTAAGAGGTTCTTCATTTGAATCATCATTATGGTGAACTGCTCTCTCCCCTTCCTCCTCTCCTATAGAGTCCAATGTTGGGTATTTACTTCAAGATTTATGTAAGTTTTAATATATATATAGCGTGAGGCGTAAGCCTCATGCCAGCGAGGCGAGGCGGGCCTCAATTGAGTTGAGGCGCAAGCCTCATAAAAAAATTCAAGGCGTAAGCATCGAGGCATTTTTTACTAGAACTGCGCAAAGGCGGGCCTCAAGACGAGCCTCATATTGCGCAATTTTAAACCATGATTTATACATATATATCTATTGGCAGTTTACCATAACCAACAAACATTATATAAATTAGCATGTCAAATATGATTTATATAATTATTATGAATTTCAAGAAGGAGATTCATTTTAGTAGAACTAAAAATGCATGCATTTAAATTTTCAAACACTTGAATTTAACTTACATGAATAAGAACCAGTGAACAATAAATCAAGACAAAGTTAATTCTATCACATGTTGATTCATTATGAACGATAGCGAAGAGTTACTACATGTGTGATCATGTTGAAAAATTTAATATGGGACTAACAATCTAAATAATTATAAAAGAATCTAATACAAATAGCACATATTATTCCCTTAACAAATATGAGAATGTTTAGACCAAATTAAATAATAGTTATTCACCTCTATGCGAGCAACACGAAACTCTAAGTCAAAAGATAATCAATTGATAACACTACTTGGGCAATGACTCAGAGATTCTACAAACAAGAAGCATGTTGAAAGACTTAGGCTTCCTCCCAAAGCAATCTAACTAATTAGAAAAAAATGGTAAGAATAAATAAAATTCCCACCAATTAAACCAGTTAGATGATATAAGAGAAGACATGATTATATAATTTGATAAACATTAAGAAAATAAAAGAGAGGGAGGAGAGAAGAGAAGATGAAGGAGCTTCCTATTGAAAGAGAGAAGGAAAATTTGAAGAAGATGCTTGCTGATTTTGTCAAATAATCAAATGTCGGTTGTGTGGAAGAAAAGAGAGAGGCTTGGTGGTTGTAGAGAGGCAAGGGAAGGAGAATAAGCAATGTTGTAGCCTCCAACCTTCTCAAATCAAGAAGAGAAGGTAGGTGAGCGGGAAAAGTCATGCAAAATAGGAGAAAATTGTGTGATTAATGCAATTTGAGAGAGTAAGATTGAAGAAAAGAGGAAGGAGGCTCGCGTGCTGCTTGGTTCGTGCGCAAGGAGGAGGTGGTTTGCTCATGCGGTTCGCTTGCGTGCGAGAGATAAAGGCTTTGGTTCATGCGTGATAGGGGCTGAAGGATTCGGCGGGCTGCTCGCCTGATCTTGGACCTTGACTTGTTGAACCGGTTCGGGAATAAAAATTATAGATTTAATTCTAACTCAATAAATTGTTAAAATTTAATAGGTGTTTTAGAACAACCAATATAATCATGAAATCAAGACTAGTTAAAGAACATTTTCCTTTAATGTTCAAAGGATTTTTCATGTAAAGATGGCTACGAGGCATGCTGTAGCCCATCTCATAGTTGAACTTGACTTAATTTACAACAGAAAAAAGGCTATTTGACACAACCGTACAACAATCATAGTGGGGTGTGATGCGATTATGCCATGGAGATTCAAGGGATAAAAATATTAATGTTGTATATTTGTTAGTATGAAATGCTAGAAATGGCTAATGCATCGAGATTGCAAACTAATATCTAATATTGACTTTTGTTAATTTTTTAAATTCAATTAGGCAAATAGGAATGCCTCGATAAATGTTAGTGGACCCTAGTGTGGCTTACACAATGGGAAATGCTACATGACGGTCCTTGGCAAATCAGATGTTGGGGTGCAGTGCAATTTATGTAGTAGAAGTTTAAAAGTGCGATATGTTTTGAGTTTGCAAATGAAAATATCTTCCCATTTCATTGTGTAAAGAATGCTATGAAGCTTGACAATTTTTATAATGCTGTGAGCATCGGGATTGTGCTGGAGAGAGTTGCAAATGTGAGAGAATCGAGAGAAGAGAGCAAGTGAATATGGGAGAGTTTTGGTGTCTTTTGGCCTTCCTCTTCCCCTTAATTAATTGGTTTAATTAAGGTATTATGTGGCTGTTTGTCTCCCCTTTCTCTCCTATAAATATGTAGTGTTTTTGTCAAAAAAAGGGTGGTTATAATGTGATTTTTGGACAGCAAAACCTGAGGGTTTTTCTTGGAAGAGCTTGTGAGCTTGTTCCACTTCTTCCTCTACTTTTTGGGAAAGTTTGCGAGCTTGTCCTCCCTTTCATCTAAGGCTTTTTATCTCCTTCTTCTATCCGCAAGTTCGACTCCACTTGTATCCTTCTTCTCAAACGATGAAAATGCAACTTTAGGTGTTTTATGGTTGTTAAAAGTTGTAAGGTAATTGTTTATGTTTGTGTTTGTAAGTGTCAAAGTTTGTAAGAGTCTTTTATCTTATAAAAAGTTATATTTTGTCGTATTTTTGTCTTTTGGGGTATATTTGTGTAATTTTCTATTTTCTAGGAAGGTCTTTATTTTGCTTGCAAAAATTAGGAGAAATCCTAATTTTTGCTTGCATCAAATTGTCAATGTGTTTTCTAACTTGGCTGCTAGAGCTTGTTGAATTTTTAGCATCTATGTTAATGAACAGAGATATTATGTTTATGATGCCTTATGAATCTTTGTATCTTATACCAGTAGGATTAAATGTATGTTAAATTCAATCGGCATATTTTGTTATTTATTCAAGTTAAAATTCTATTTAATTTTGTGAAGGCGTTATGTTGTCTATATGGTTTTTAGATGTCTTGCTCAAAAGTTATCTGTCGCATAATACAAATTCAAAGGATATACTTGTTGAAAAATGTTTTCTCGGATGAGAAAAAAATTACTGATTTGTCCTGTTTGTTGTCAGAAGGGTTCACAAACCTTGTATGGAATTCAAAAAGTTTGCACGCTACTATTGATATGCTTTTTTTTTTTTAATCCCTCTTCTATTTTTATGATCAGTTTTGCAGGTAAAGAGACTCTTAGATGTTTAGCTTTGGCATTAAAACGCATGCCAACTGGTCAGCAGATGCTTAGCTATGAGGATGAGGCAAATCTTACTTTCATTGGATTGGTATGACATCTTATGTTCTTTGTTGCTTATTAGTATGTATTCTTTGATGAGCTTTTTGGAGGGGCGTAGCTTTTTGTTCACTTTAATTTGATTTTCACTTGCTTTACTACAGATTTTACTTCTGCTCTACCTCTAGATCATATTTACGTAGATACGAAATACTTGGTTGAAGATTTAAATGACTATTGGCTTCAAGCCATGTATTATAGTAACTAGTCTTAATGTTTATGCAGTATGATTCACCTTGTTCAAGTATTTGGTACTATTTTGTTTATCACTTTTGTCATTTTTTAGAGCTTCAGCTTTCTAGGAGGAACAATAAATCTTGAAATATGATGTTACAATGTTTAATGAGAAGATGCAACGTTTGTAAAGATGAGCTAATTAAAATGGATAATTAGTATCTAAACAGAATACCAACTATGTCATGCTTAAATTTGAACATCCTCTGCGTGCTTTTTGCTAACAACAATGTTGAGAGTATTTTGACCTTATTGTTTGTGTAAACTTCTTGAAAGCTGTTGTGATTGGTCGCTATTGTATTGCGCTGTAAAAAATTTAAATGCACTGGACGAAGTATGATATCAACATATGCTAAAATGTTAAATGACAGAAAACGTGACAATAAACCCACTAGCAGTTTTGACCTATACTATTAAACAGACTTAAGTCAACCCCAGCACGAGATGAACTACAGAAGAATCATTAAACAATGGAAAAATGTTGTATTGCGCAACTCTAAGCCCAAAGTCCCTAAAGATAATTGGATGAATGACACATGATAAGTGTATGTCACATGTCATCCATCCAATGAACTGAAGACTTGTTTGGACTTGTTTTTGTGCACGGTAGTATTACTTTGAACAAAAAATGTGATTATAAACTTACCATTTTCTGTAATAATTATATAATTATAAGGTGAACTCTGGAATTTGTAAGTTAACTCTCAGGAATCAATATATTTGGAATATACTAGAATTAAGTATATTATGTGTATTGCTGCTAACACCAAATTGTCTTTATCTTACTTGAATATTTATTTAATATAGACAAGTAGAAAAGTATAAAAGCTATTTTGAATTTTATTACTTAATTATGTAGAAAATGTGGAAGTATATATAGATTTCTCAAAAAGTCTTATGATAGAAATAAATCAAAGCTATTTATAATCAATGATTTGGTCTTTCGAAATTTCGAGGGAGATGCGATCTAACTTTAATCAGATTTTTAAGAATGAAAGCCAAATGGAGGAAAATGTAGGTGCACTTGATTATGAGAAACTTAGAGATGCTCAAACTATCATATGTTGGGTTTTACATTTTAAAATTAAAATTTTGCTTGAGTTGATAAGTTTGATTTAGAAAGTTGGGGCTTGTATTCCAACAACATAGGTTGAAGGAAATGCCCGAAATGTGAGAACTTATGAGACGATTGGAGTAACATCACTTTAGGATCTTAGATCTAAGGTGAGAACTACTGAGGGGTAGTTCCTATAACATATATCTAACAAAATGTAAAGGACTTACAAACCTACACCTCACCTAAGGCCGAGTCAGCCTGATCTTCGGATTTACAACCCTGGCTGAAAAGGCCAGTCAATCAACTTAAACACTTTTAAAGTTATGCAGTCCGATCTCAATGCTTATGAATGATAAGAAAGTCTATTTTGATTTAGAAGACATGACTTACAACTTAGCTTTTAGGCCAAGATGCCTGATCGTGTGGGTATGCAAATGCTGACTCACTAAATACAAATATATTTGTTATCTAATCCTTAATGTGAGAGCTTTCTACATGAGATACACCGAGTTATGCATGATCATTTTAATTTTTTAATTGAAATTGTTTGAGTAAGCCATGCAATTTTTGATAAAAAGATACATGTTATCCTATGGTTGATTTTTTTTTAATTGATAGAAATCTTAATTTTATCCTAGGATCCTACTGAACAACATATTTTCTGGCCACCCTCAAGCAAAAGCAAGTGAGCAAACCTAGGAAAAAAATATGTATTTCTAATATACACTCAATAAACCAAATTTTAAAACCAGACCGGACCGGCCGGTTCGACCGGTTCAACCGTGAATCGGTCCGGCGGGCGGTCCTGTTTGATCTTAGAATCGGCTGTCTTCAAAACCGGTATAAAACCCGGTTGAACCGGGGAACCGCCGAACCGGGCGGCTTTTGAAGAACCGGACGGTTCTAAAATTCGCAAATATCAGCCGTCCATCCACGATCGAACGCGTGTGTGGGGAAGTTTGATTGCTATTCTCGCTGCCCTAATCGTAAGCTGCGTATTCTATTTCGAGTATTCGTCTCTTCGACGCCTACATGACTCCTCAATCCACAAGCGAAGCCGAAGGAATCCTCCAACCATCTTCGTTCATCCCAGCCGTCTTTCGCACTCCTCCGACCTCACAGCCGCCGGCGCATGACTTTCCGTGTGAATCCAATTCGTCGTCGTCGAGCTCCAGGTAAGCCATCGATTTTGTTTTTTATATTTTGATCGCGTTCATGTGTTTTCATTCAGTCGAACTAGGGCCTACGAACATTCCATTCGATTGGGAGTATACAGCTTGTGCTATCAAGAAGACAAGAAAGGGCGGATAGGATGTGGGAGATGAGCTGTTCATGACAATTTCCTTTGCCACTTGTTCATCCCTTTGCTAGCCGAAATATGAGAGATATGAGAGACAGAGAGGAAGCGATCTGGAGAATACTTTTTTTGTGTGAGATTGGGAGTTGCGACCTAGGGTTCATAGGTTCTTCTCTTTTTGAACTAACTGTTTACAGCTTTTCTACCTTATGAGTTAAATGGTTGCTAGAGTTCTTCTATATTAAGCTAGATGATTTCCTCTACTAATTGTGTTAACCAGTTAGAATTATAAATTTTATGTTGGCTAGATACATGTTTAACTTTGGAAATAGATTTGTGAGATGTAGGTTAGACTTTTTTTTCTAATATGCTTAGAAGAAATATCTTTACTCATGTGCAAGTTGAGCTTGTTGAAACTTTACCAAAATTGTTGATAAACCATCTTGCTCCGCAATCCTTTGTTTTTTGCAAGTTGAGCTTGTTGAAACTTTACTAATATTTATGTTATTTGATTAGTTTAATATGAAAATGGAATGTAGAGTGAAGTTATTAGAGGAAAATGTCTCATTTATTTTATAAATTTTAATAATATTATTATTTATTACGTCATCCGGTTCGACCGGTCGAACCGTGGACCTCTCATTCTTCCGATTCGTTGTCCGGTCCGGTTTTCAAAACCTTGCAATAAACAAATAAGCATATGTATATATAATCATATATATATATATATATATATATATATATATATATATATATATATCAATAAGAAAGTAAAGTAATGTCCAAATTATTATAATCATGAATGGAAGCTGAGTTGTTTGTCTTATACAACTTAGTTATATTTTTTACAGATTTAGCATGTGGGTCTTTAAGCTTTGGCTTTTAGATGCATCCAGATCTTCACTTAAGAGGTTTATCCTTCTGATTCATCTCACTTGTAACTGTATTCCATAGGCCTACTATTAAATACATTTGAAAAATAAAAGACTCAAACCCGCAAAATAGGGGATTAGAAAACATATAATATATGAAAGAAAAAACATTTTAGAAATACTTTGAACTTAAAGTGCCAAGCCATATTTCTATTCTATTGTTCATGCCTTTTGGGGGTTTTAAGTAGCACCTGTAAGTATGCATTTTTTATAATTATGATTTATTTATCTTCTTTTGGACATGATCACCTGAAAAAAAGCACTTATATCTTTATCCTTGCCACTTATGGGTTGCCCACGATGCATATAATCTCGTAGGAATCACACCAAATACAACAATCATATGCATAGAAAAGAAAAATCTTAATCTTAGCATGCCTAGGGGCAGTGCACCTAAATGTGTGCTAAATGTATGGTATGTCATGCTAAAAGTTGTGTCTTATTTTGTTGTGGAATAGAGACGTTTAATTTTAATCCAAGGGTGATTTCATTTCAAGGTATTTATTACATAAAATTTTTATTTAATTTTTAATTTTTATATTTAGGAGAGTTATGAAGAACCCATAGAGTAACTAATGTTTGTTTTGAGGCAAGCCTGCTACTCATAATTATCTAACATCCAATGATGTAGACATTCTATCTTTGGGGTAAAATGATTTATCATTGCATCAAAAGAAACTTAGATGATTTATAGGTATTCTTTTGAGTTATGGAAACCTTGCTTATTTATTTGGAAAAAAGATCAAAATGGCCCCTTAACTCTTTATGAAGGACCAAAATGATCCTAATTATATTAAATGACCTTTTTGGTCCTTCAAGTCTTTAAAGAGGAATCAAAAGTCTCATAGTTGGACTATTTTGATTCCTCTTTAAGTAGTTGAGGGACCAAAATTGTTCTTTACTATAGTTGGGGATTATTTTGATTTTTTATAAGAAATCGAGAGATCTTTTTAATCATTTTCTCTTATTTACTTTGTTATATGACATAAATTGACAGGATATTCTGTTTAAGGGTTAGTTTGGGTTAAATAAAAAATTATCTAAATGCTCGGTTTGATAAATTTCATGAATGGTCTTTTTTGTTAAGGTTGGGATGCTTGATCCACCGAGGGAGGAGGTAAGAAATGCTATGCTATCATGCATGCATGCTGGAATTCGGGTTATAGTTGTTACTGGTGATAACAAGGTCAGTTAAAACCGTGATCTGCTCCATTCATATTTATTTTTTGTGCACACGGAAGTTTATTATATTTTTAATTATAGTCTACAGCAGAATCTCTTTGTCGGCAAATTGGTGCTTTTGACCACTTGGATGATTTTAGCGGATACTCTTACACAGCCTCTGAATTTGAAGCTCTTTCTCCAATACAGCGAACATTAGCATTGCAACGAATGGTGCTTTTTACGAGGTAAGCCTTATTCTATTATATATACTTTCGAGATCCAAGTGTTTGCAGCCCCGACTGATTTGATAATGTGTCAGAATTTTGATGCTAACTTAGAGGCTACTTTCTTTATCATTTTGGCATTTGGCACGTTGGCAGTTTCTCATTACCTTGGAAGAATACATTCAATCCCTTTACGAGAATCGTAGATGATGATGCTGCACTAAAAGAACAAGCACCATAAAGGGTTGCTGAATAGAGAATCTATTCGTTATTTTGGATACGTTTCAATAAGATGCATGATGTTCTTTACTCTGAACAAAGTTAGCGAAAGCTCTCCAGTTTTTGGGTTAGCTTTGAACAATTCTGTAAAAAAAGAACATAACAGATGCATTTATTGGTTGAAGTCCATTGAAGAAATACATCAAATTAATTATCCCAATTTCAAACAGCTAAATTTATGCTTAACAGAGGGTTGAGATCAAAATTTACATATTTTTAATGCTACCAGAACTGCTAGGCTTTTTTGACGTAGCGGGAGAATGATTTGATGCAACAAACGCAAAGAAAATAAGTGCAGCGGTTGGGATCAGTGTCCAGCAGGTCTGGTCTTTTGCATTCATATTCATATTTTTTTCAGCAATTAATGTAAAAATATCATCGTCAGTTTTTGCTTTGATTTTCGATGATTTGGGAGCTGGCTTTCGAGGGGAGATGATGGCAAATATGTTGGTTGTTGGCTGAAATGGGGTAAGACGAAATTAAGAAGCAGAGAAGTGGAGAGGAGAGAGTCAGTGGATGATACAGAGTTGGGGAGCTGAGCCCAGAAAACCATGAAGAGGAAAGCCAAGCCAGGGTACTGGGAAATGAGGCACGGGCGGATTATAAGAGAGCAGTTTGAGCTGTGAGAAATTAATACGCAGAGAGAGGGTGGTGGCAGAGAAGATGAAGATGAAAGATTGCGAGGGAAAGGGATTTATTGTGGGATATGGAGGCTAAGGGGATTTCTGAGAACCGCCTGTGCAGAAAATCCAAATATTAGTTAGTTCAATAATTCATTATTGTTGTAAAAAAGAGCCATAGAGAGAATCAAGAAAATGGTTAGAACAAATTCACTCGATAATTTAAGGCGTTATCATTAAAAAGATAAACTTTCAACAGTAAAATCATTAAAGAGAATAATTAAACTGTTCCATGTTACTCCAATTTAGTAAAAAAAGTTAATATCACTGTCAACATTACATAGCTATTATAGCTACTCTCTGTATAGCTATTATAGTATTTAGGATAGTATCTTAAGGTAGTTCTCTATACCTCTTCTGTTATATATCTACTATACCATATTATTGTAACTTTATTGCTTGCAGGGTCGAACCTTTTCATAAAAAGATGCTCGTGGAGGCCTTGCAAAACCAAAATGAAGTGGTAGGCCTTTTATGATTTGGTTTTTATGTTTCGATGCTTATTTTTATGTAGATTTTAATCTGATCATTGCACATTGTCCTTTTAATTACTAGTGCTAGTAACTTCCTATGGTTCTTTTGACCTGTGTTCGTTCACATCTTTATGCTTATGTATTAAAAAGAATGCATATGTGCACAACACACATTCATGCAAGCATACACTCATAGGCATACTTAGCATGTACATCTGTTGGCCTATATGCTTTTTTAAGAATAATATTGTAATCAAATAATGAAATAAGTACACATTAATTAATTTCTTGGAATTGCTAAGTTAAAGTGAAGAACAAAGGTAAAACTCAAAACAATATGATGATAAAGTAGAAATTATCCATCTAATTGGTGAAAACATCATCAAAAGCTTTCTTTTGAGGCTCTTGTTTGTAACCTTATGAATATTGAAGATTGACGGTAAATTTTTTGCTTATTTGTTCTGATGTAAAACGTAAATGCCATTTACTTGCCTAGGTGACAAGATTAATTAAATCCCAAATCAATTTGGGAGAGAGAGAATGAAAATATGAAATTAAATTTCAGATTAAGTGGAATTGGCGGGATGAATTTGAATTTAAATTCAAATTTAATAGGGAGAATTAAATTGGATGAGAGGGAATTGTGGGAGGTAATTAGGGAGGCTTAATGAGCGGGGCTATTAATGAGGTAGGAGAGAGATTATGCCTAATGAGGGGGCCGGCCACATAGAGAGAGGGAGGAGATTATTTGTCATAAGTAGAGTGGGGCCCACATTACTAATTAAAGATTTAATAAAATCTGAATTAAAATTCAGATTTTGAAAGAAAGGAAAGTTTCCAATAATGGGGCTATCAATTAGAATTAATTTGAATTTCAAATTCAAATTGACATCCAATTAATATGAAAGCCTTAAATCAATGAACTATTTTAGGAAAGTCTTCAATGCCTCTTGGAAACAAATTTGAATTTCAAATTTGAAATTTTCAAGAGGGAGGTCGGTGGCTTGGCCCTCCCAAGGAGGCCGGCGGAGCCGCCGGTGGTGGGATTGGCCTGGGGTGGCCGGCGGTGGACTTATTGGGGCCGGTGGAGGGGATTTGGGAGGAAGAGAGTTTGTTTAGGTAGAGAAGAAATAAATTGGGTTTAGGAAAAAGAAAATTCGGAGCTACACACCTCGTGCAACACCTCCAATAGAACTCACAAAGAGATTTACAAGCGCCACTTCTTCAAGAACTCACAAAGAGATCTTGGGAATCTCGGAACTCACAAAGAGATCCTTCCACTTCCTCAAGAACTCACAAAGAGATCTTGGAAATCTCGGAACTCACAAAGAGATCCTTCTCCTCTCATCAACTCACTAAGAGATCAAACAAGTAGAATAAAATTTTATTATCAATTCATCATCCAATTACACAAGAAAGGGCCTCTATATATAGGCCTAAGAAACTAAAATAAGACACATATGCCCCTAAGGCTTACATAAGACGACCCTCTTAAGTGAGGGTAAAAATGGAAAATTCATAATAAAAATTTAAAAACTAGAAACAAAATATAAGATAACGTGGGACGATGACAGCCGTTGATCTTCAGCTCCTCGGATAGCCATGGACGGTTGGATGTCCGCATCATGTTCCCCCTCCTGGAAAACATGATATGAAATCTTTTATCTACTTCGGTTTTAATTGAAGGTAAACTAACGCCTGACTCAAAAAAATGTTCAATTGAAACATTTGTAATATCGCACTTAAAAGCATATAAGGTTATGATATCCTCGTCAGTGCTAGGCACAGCATTGGGAGGGTTTGAAGGCTTTGATTCCATAAATCTATTATGTGTTTATTCCAAATATTATGTGCATGTATAAACTAAAGTGGGTGAAGTTTTAACCTTTACAAGTGGTGTTAGATTTTGGTTATCTATATACTCATGAATATTTTTGTTTGGATTAATAGCAAATGATTTTCCCAATTCTAGATGAGCTTTGAGGCAATCATAATATTTGTGCCAAAAAAATTTACAAGTGATGCAATACAATGGATTGCGTTTCAAATTCAGTCTTTTATCAATATCCATGAGAGGGTGATCCAGTCCAAACATCCTTGTCCAAAGGCAAAGTAACATTCATCTCAACTATTACCCTAGCAACATAAGGCCTACAAAGACATGCAGTAGCAAGATCTCCTTGCAATGTTTTGCTGAAGATAGAACCCAATAAATATAATATTGACTTATGAAAATAGTGTAGTTGAAACCAATGAAAATAAACCTAAACCAGATTGATAGGAGGTTCTATTGATAAGTCAAAGTATGGAGATGACTTTTACATAGGCATCAGATAACTATACACTTAGTCAAAGTGTGTAGACATATATGTAAATACATATGTATATAAAATCTATAAGCCTATATGTACCTTCATATAGACATGCACACATGTATGAATCCGTACTAATATATACTCACTTACAGGTGCACTTACTTGCACCCATACGCAATTGTTGTATGGCTCTTAAATAAAATTCTCACCCTGTTTCAAGAAGAATAATTTAGAGTAGAGAGTTTATGCATGAGATATATTGTCCTCTGAGTATCAGTGGAATGAAGAAAATTTCACATCCCTTTGGCAAAATCTTGGACCATGATGATAGGTCTGAAAATGGTTCGAAGTTGTTACGAATTTGTGTGAGAACATCATTCTTAGAAAGTTATTATTTGATGTATTTGGCCGCATGCATTCATTGAGGAGGCAAAGAGCCATCATAACTGATATATCATCAAAAAATTTCTTGACTAGGCACGAATCTCAAGGAAAATTCTGATTGGGAACTTCCAAAATTAAATATGGAGCCATCCAAACTCTGACTTCAACAAACTTATTGTCGAACTAGATCTCTTGAAAAGCCAAACCCAACAACATCAAATTCGATCCAATCCGAGCCCAAATGAGTCCAAATCAAAGGCCCAAAGCACATTTAGAGGGTTGAAAGCATAAATTGGATAACCAAATGACATTCAAATGTGACATGCTTATATTTGATTCGAATGGCTCGACAAGACGAATCCAACGAACCTAAGATCGCCGAATTCTAACATCATTTTGGCACTCAAATGCATGATATACGGTCTATGATCAAGGGAGTTGATATCCGCCGTCGATTGGAAACACTCCCAACTTGCCTTTGGTCATCTCCCTCCCTATTTACTGTCTATGTCATTCCTAAAAAATTATAAATATCCCCTCATTCTTCACATGGGGGGTGGAGGGAAAAAAGGAGGAATCCACCCGACCATTGACTATGGTCTCTCCGACCAACATCTATAGACTACAGTCTCCCTGACCATCGTCGTCCGATTACGATCCTTCCGACCACCGTCACTTGACTACAGTCTTTCCGACCTCTATCGCTTGCTGAATATGGTCCTTCCGACTAGCATCACCAGACTATGGTTTTTCCGACCTTCGTTGCCCGCCGACTATGACCCTTTCAACCAACATCACCAGACTACGATCCTTCTAACCATCATCTCCTGACTACGATCTCCCCGACCGCCGTCACCCGACTATGGTCCTTTCAACCATCGTCACCTAACTATGATCTTTTCAACCTCCGTCGCCTACCGATTACGATCCTTCCAAACATCGTCACCTGACTACGACCTTTCCAAACTCCATCACCCGCCAACTTCGGTTCTTCTTACCATCGTCATTCGACTACAATCCTTTCGACCACTGTCACTCGACTACAGTATAATACCCGAAATGTTCAAAATGATGTAAGCAAAAAAAAACCTAAATTTTTATTTAGTTTCATTAAAAATCATACGGTTCATTTGAACATTTTGATAAAGTAAGTGTGAATTATTGAACCAATTAGATCTTATGTCACTAACTGTTAATTAATTTAAGGTACTTTAATTTTATAACTAGAAATTAGTCATTTATCTATTCCTATCACTGTAGCTAGGGTTGTAGCTATGACATATAGCTAGGCATTCAATCATTACTTTACATATTCTTTTTACTGTAGCCATGACATTAAGCTATGCATGCAATGGTCTGATTTCCTGATGCAGGAAATCAACGGCTATGGCCAAATCTGAGTGAATTAGTGGAATTAGGAATGAATTTTATATTACTTAGTGGAACTGTTGTTATAACTTAGTGGGAAACAATTAGAGCAATTCATTCTCACTCCTTCCACGCATCCCTTTTCACGGCATTTCCTTGGAAGTTAACCGGCTGCTATGCCGAGAGCAGCCGACAGAGGAAAAACGGGGAGCTGGAGAGCCAGGGCTGAAGTGGGTTGTTAAGGAAATCACAGGTAATCTTAGAAATCAAAATCAGTAGACTTAAGTAGTTGCTAAACTCAATATTTGTTGGATCTAATGTGTGTAGAGATTTGTAATGGTGGAATCAATGAGAGTATTTGTTGATATGTGAAAGATTTCAATGTTAACAGAAGATAGAAATCGTGATGCTAAAATGAGATGTGCTTTCTTAAATTAAATACTATTACTGCTAAAGGCATTACAATTAAATAATATAACTGATTTCAATTAACTATTTTAATTGAAATCAGCAAGAAATAGAATTAAAAAAGTGGGCATCAAAGAAGGAAAGGAGAAGTGAAGAAAGAATTTTTGGAGAGAAAAGAAGTTAGATTGAATGAGAAGGAACTTGATTGAGGTAAAGTTTGTAAGATTTCATATTGTTTAATTTATTTTAATTGTTTATCTATATGCATTTATTAGAATGAAGAAAATTATGTTTTAGGTTGTATATCAATGGAAAAGAAATCGGAATACTTTAGGTGAACCAGTTTACCTAACTGTCCTGGAAGACGAGGTGAGATACCAAACGATGCATAGAAAATAATAAAATTTTATACATTGGCAAATGCATATCTGTTATATTTATGATTGCATTATTTCAATTTATGTCACTTATTCATATATGTGAATTTTTGATATGATTATGAAAATGGGCATGAA